ACACACACACACGCACACACACACACACACACACACACACCGCACGTGTGTGTTTCGCCTGCTTTGAGTCTCCTCTCCACAAACCTTTCACAGCTAATAGTTGAGTGATTGTTTTGGGTCTGATTGTGTGTGTGTTTTCTGGCTCTGGGCTTTCAGAGCGTTTTATGACCCGCCTACAAATCTGAAACTGATTTCGATTGGCTGACGAGTAGGGCTGTCACTAACGATTATTTTGGTAATCGAGTAATCTGTCGATTAATCGGATAATTATAATTATTTTTTTGTGGTAATAAAAATAGGTTTTAAAATTACTTAATACATATATAATAGGAATGAGACAATGATAATTAGTTAAAATAAAGTATCAAAAGCAAATAATTATATGATTTTATTGAACAACACTGTTAAAATACATTACACGTTCATTGCATTATACATTAAAATACACATGTATTATAAACAATAGAGCTAATGTACATTATGCATTACAACAAATGCCATCAGAGGGCGCCAACGGCCTAACGATTGTTTTACTGCGCGATCTAATCCTTGTTTAATATTGACTAAACAACATTTGATTTGTCTCAACATTTGAGACGCATGTAAATGATAAGAGTTTGTGCGGAGCAGCGTTTACTGTGAACTGAGCCGCTCTGACACGCACGCACGTAACATGTAAATAATTAAAGCGCATATATTACATCTGCATCGCATATATGTATTTAATTGCATCGTAGCGTTTGTGAATTCACAATAGCATTATGCTTTATTATGATTTTTAGATGGGTTTAATATATCATGCCGCCTTGGAAAACGGTCTAATAATGCGTTTCATGGATTCTCGTCCGTGAAATGCGCCGCTTCCGGTAATTAGCAGATTACTCGACTCGACTTTTTTTCGAAATGAAATCGAGGATGTTTTAAAATCAAATACTCGAATAGAATCGACGAAATCTACTGACGAGTGAGCCTCTGCTTTGTGATTGGCTGATGTGTGAGGCGCCGTGCTGTGATTGGCTAATGACTTCGGCTTCGTATCTAGGACCCCAGCGGACGTCACCGACGGCACCCAAAACTATGCCCGCCCCCCCGCGCGCCATAAGCTCCACCCCCTCCACCGGAACACGGCGGAACATGCCAATGTCACGGAACGGAGGCGGCGATGCCGAAATCATGGAGCTCAACCAGCAGGTACACCAATATATAACTATTTTTACAGCTACATTATTATTCCAGCCACAATTAATCACAGCATATATGTATATACCATTACAAATGATTAAGCATATAAATCATCAGTTTGTTGTTTTAGACACATGCACACAGACATTATTTCATGCACGACATAGTCGTGAGATGCATAAGAAATCTTTAGATGCAACAAAAGACAATACTTCAGCTAGTTATAAACACTAACATTTTCATCATTTAAAAATCTTTATCTACATATATTTACATTTTTACAAATGCAGACCTGCTTAAAAGGTGGTTTTGGGAGGTTCTGTCAGGTTTCGCTCACATATTTGTCTCTAAAATATGGATAAATGGGTACAAACGCACACACATTGTAATACACACTCAGAATACAGGCAAGAGCCAATCAGAGGCGGAGAATGTAGCCTAATTTACATATGTATGTGCTTCTTGAACAATGAAATGAAATGAAATGCACTGCAACTGAATTTATATCATGAATCTATTAAATTGATAATATTAATATAAATAAATATTTTATTATTAATTTATTTTATTTAAATATTTATTTAAAAATGTATAAATATAATAAATATAAATGTAATATTTATAAATAAATAAAATCGTATCAAAATAAAAATGTAAAATATTAAATTAAATAAAAATGAATATTAAATAAAACAGTCTGTGTGTGTCTCTGCGTGCAGCTGCTGGACCTGAAACTGACAGTCGACGGTTTGGAGAAAGAGAGAGACTTCTACTTCGGCAAACTCCGAGACATTGAGCTGATCTGTCAGGAGAACGAGAGCGACAGCAACCTGGTCCTCGGCAAAATCCTGGAGGTGCTCTACGCCACAGAGGTATCAGTCCTCATCATACATCATGCATGACGCTGTGCAGGCCTGACTCTGCCACAGAATTCAGAGAAGTTCAAAGAGTGATTGTGGCTTTACATCTCGCAACTCTTGACTTTTCTCACAATTCTGACTTTTTTTCCTCAGAATTCTGTTTACTTTTCTCAGAATTCAAATTTTCCTCAGAATAGGTTGTTTGCACATGACGTCACTGATGACGCGCGCAATGCAGCTGGAGGGCAGGAAGTGATTTTTCTCTCCATAGGAATCACTAGCAGAAACTCCAAATGCCTGTGTTTTGCGTTGTTTATGGAAATAGGACAAACCGAGAAACCACAAGGAGCTTTTATCGTGTACGAAAATGTGTTGTTCATAAGGCCCTCAGAATAGTTTTTTCTCTCGCAAATCTACATTTTTCTGACAATTCTGACTTTTTTCCTCAGAATTCAGATTTTTTTTCTCAGGATTCAGTTTTTTTTCCTCTCGCAATTCTGAACTTTTTCACGCAAATTCAGTTGTTTTTTTCTCACAAATCTGACTTTTCCCCTCAGAACTCTGAGTTGATATCCTGCAATTCAGGTTTTTAGTTTTTTGTTTTGTTTGTTAGTTTCTGCCACAATAAAAAATTCAGACTTTCTTGTCACAATTGCAAGTTTGTATCTTGCAATTCTGGGGTTATAAAGACCAAAACTGTGAAATTAAAGACGCAGTTACCTTTTTAGTTTTTTAATTCCGTGCCGGAAACAGGCTTCCATGCGGCGTCCCCAGACGTGCGGTTTATTGCTGTTGGGTTTGTTTCAGGATGGTTTCGCGCCTCCGGAGGACGAGGAGATTGACGAACAGCCGCGGGACCAGGATGAATACTGATCCTCCTCATCCTCACTCTCTCTCTCTCTCATCACGTCATCCTTCTTTCTTTCTCTCCCTCTCTTTCACTCCATCCCCCACCAGCAGACACTAGGGGCGTGGTCTAATAGGCTCATAGAGTGAGTAGGGGCGTGTCTATGCTAATGAGGTCTGAAGTGATGCGGTGAAGCTGATGTTTTATTGGCTGTGGGTTTAATGAAGCATCCAGACGACTCGATGATGATGATGCGGTGACACTTTCACACACAAACAC